GGGTCGCATCAATCAGGAGTTGTGAGGCTTGTTGTTAAAGGTAGTGTGTTGCTCTGTGTGCAGATTGGTTACACAAACAACCGGCTCAGCTGCTTAAAGTTGGCTTCACATTTCTGGTCTGATTGATATTTTAGCGAACTCTTTGACTCTCTTCTTTGATGAGATGAGTTTTACACTTTGTACCACTTGATTGTTGTTGTGGGGGATCGGGAGCTGATCGTTGGTCTGGTGGAATGATAAATGAATTGGTGTGTGTGTGTGTGTGTGTGTGGTGTGTGTGTGTGTGTGTGTGTGTGTGTGTGTGTGTGTGTGTGTGTGTGTGTGTGTGTGTGTGTGTGTGTGATGTGTGTGTGTGTGTGTGTGTGTGTGTGTGTGTGTGTGTGTGTGTGTGTGTGTGTGTGTGTGTGTGTGTGTGTGTGTGTGTGTGTGTGTGTGTGTGTGTGTGTGTGTGTTGTGTGTGTGTTGTGTGTGTGTGTGTGTGTGTGTGTGTGTGTGTGTGTGTGTGTGTGTGTGTCAGTTTATGGAGAATCAATAAGAACAGTCGTCATGACATCTGTTCCTGAAACACGTTTAAATTCTCCTTCACTGTTTCCTCTCTCAGTCGTTTCTCTGCTTCTGTTCTATCTTTAAATGTTGCTATAACTTTCACATTTTTAACGTAATAATTCAGCCTTCAAAGGAAAACTAAAGTCATCTGTGCATTACATAACATTCAGCTGATGCTCTAAGTAATTAATGTGTGACTAGATAAAGACTTAGTTTGTAGTAGTTCTGATTGGTTGCACTAACTATTGGTTTCTGGAACTCTTTCTTCTACTCGTTCTCATACTTTCTTCTTTGATTAGAAACTTTTTGACTTTATTTCCACTTCGTCAAGTTATTGCAATGAGTATTTTTGAATCTAAGTTGAGACCAAGAAGTACTTGAGTTCGTAGGACTGTTGTTGTTCATAGTACTTCTTGTTGAACATAAAGCATGGCACTAAATACTAAAATGAACCTGAACATCAGCAGGTTGTCTTCTTTAATACATTTAGTCTTGTCTTGGATCATTTCTGGATTCAATGATTCAGATGTTTTCAGAAGAAGACCGAAAACGACAGAAAACCCAAGTATTAACCTGTTAAGCCCGAGAGACCCCGGTACCGGGCACTGCCGCAACATCTTGCAGGAAACAGTGTCTGAGGGCATGTTCATTTAATAAACTATGAATGTTTTATATCCATGTAACGGGAAGAAACTCATCTAACTGATCATTTTTATTTTATTTTCAAAAGAAAACCCACAATGCTAACACTGAGCCTCTGAATTAGCAACGAGCGAAAAATGCTAACACCTTACTGCACCGAAAATCACTCACAAAACCTTATTATTTATCTTTTCACCACATCCAACACATCGATTCACATCGTGAGGTGACACAGAATCGATTGACACCGACATTACCGCTGAATTATACGTATTTGCGACGTTATAAGCAAAAACGGACGTCAAAACAGGTGACGCTAGGTAGCTAAAAATGCTAACATTTTTACCTTGGCTCTGTAGTCTCTCCAAAGTGGTCTTCAATGGCATTAAAACGATAAAAACGCTGCTGAAGTTAATCCATAGGTTAATCCAATGTGTCTGTGTCCCTTTGAAATCATTTCTGATAATCCATAAGCATTAAAACTGCTTTTCCGTTTCCAGATGTCAAAGCTAGAGATAGGTTCACTCTGATGCAAAATTACATGCGCGAAGCCCCCACCTTTTCTCTTCACAATGAGTGTGTGTGGGGGACTCGCCTTTCGATTCTATTGGCTCTAACGGTCAGAAAGAGGTGTCAACCATCAAAATCGAGCAAGGGGGGCCAGAGATATGGAAAATCCACCCAAATCACCCCAGAAGTGGTTTCTTTTTGCTAAATCTCTCTAAAAAGGTCAAATGTCACTTGTTTTGCATCAATCTTGATACAGGGTACTTATTATATGTTGTACTTTGGATTCCTAAAGCTTTTAGTCTACTAACCCATCATCCAAGGGTAGTTTTCACTATAAGTAAAAAAATATTTTTGGACGGACACTATAATTTACAGTTTTTTACTATGTAAAATCTGAATGTTCTTTAAAATAAAAAACATCTATATTGATTCTGACACTTCTACATCCAACTCACAGGTTTATCATTACTTTGAGAAAAAAGATTATTAATTTAACCCTTTTAGAAGGGAAGATATGGTCATTTGTTCTGGGAATGTCATTTTCGAGCCTGAGACCTGAAAAACAGGCTCAGGGCTTAAGAGGTTAAGTACTCAGATCTTGTACTTGAGTAAAAGAAGAAGTACTCAGATCTTATACTTTAGAAAAGTAGAAGTACTTCTTTCTCGCAGCAGTGTGTGTTGAAGTGAAGCTGCGTTGTGATTGGCTGACGGCGGCTGCAGAAGTAGGGCTGAGGATCGATGAGGTCGATTTGCGGCTAATTTTAGCTCCTGGTTTTGCTGCTGCTGCACAACCATCCAGACCATAATGAACACTTCCTGCCAGCATACTCAAGTACTGTGAGGAAGGGTTATTTAGAGTACTTTTTCATTTGGATTATTTCAAAACAAAAGCATGCGATTTGTTTTTAAAATATTGTTGTTCCTCTTCTTTATACACTTGATAATTCTTCAAGTGTATTACAATATACACCATTGTCTATTGGTATAAAGAAGATACACGTTTGTATATAAATACATATATATAGTACAGCATACAGTACAGCAGGAAGAGAGTCGGGTTAAAACTCTGATTGAAATGTCTGCTGCTTTTCAATAATCACAAAAAAAAAGGACATCCGCCCCCTGCTGACACTGTGCCCAGGGGCCGGGGATTTAACACACACACACACACACACACACACACACACACACACACACACACACACACACACACACAGGTCAAACAGCGGGCGTTAATCCTCTCGGAGCAGATGGACGACTTTTGTCACATCCTGACCGTCCAGAGAGCCGTGCAGTAAACTCTCTTTCTGAATCGATGGGAGATGTTTTTATATTTACTTTGTCCTCAAATGATCCCCGATGTTTCACAGAAGTGTGGGATTGTTTTCACGGTAGTAGTGTGTTTCAGACAACAGTGTATTAAGGCCATTGTAGGGGAAATTGTGGTAGTATTTCTGCCTCTTAGTATTAGTATTAAAACCTACAATGGCATCTTCATAGTTTCCTCTGCTCCACAGTTAAAGCCACATTTTGACATCTTGGTGCTTTTAACCCTATATTTGAATTGGATGAAGGGTGTTCCTAATGGGACGTCTGGACCTGACGATACCAGAGAAACAGCTGGGCTAACGTTAGCAGCTAGCTCGCAACCCCTCCATTCTCTATCAACCAAACTGGGTTGGAAAACAGATCATTTTAACGGCTTAATTTAGTTTTTTTACCCGCCGTGTAATTGATTTTGGAGACAGTAGACGTGTGTTGGTAACTCGGCTCGTGGTAAAAAAAACACCTGAACGCCTGGACCTGAAGATACCAGAGAACAAGCGGAGCTAACTACAACTACAATAATGAATAGACTGAATTAAAGAATACCTGTTTTTGTCACTTCTTCCTGCAGAAATGTCTCTAAAGTCTGTTTTCCAGCATCTGACTGTTGGAGCTGCTTTTTCTATGTTTTATATCATAGTGAATTTATTCTGTAATTTAAATGCATCACAAAGGACTCTGAGACACTCGGACGGACATTACATTACATTACATTACATTACATTACATTACGTTACATTACGTTACGTTACATTACATTACGTTACATTACATTACATTACATTACGTTACGTTACATTACGTTACATTACATTACATCACATCACATCACATTACGTTACGTTACGTTACGTTACATTACATTACGTTACGTTACATTACATTACATCACATCACATCACGTTACGTTACGTTACGTTACGTTACGTTACGTTACGTTACGTTACATTACATCACGTTACGTTACGTTACGTTACGTTACGTTACATTACATTACATTACATTACATTACATCACATTACATTACATTACATTACATCACATTACGTTACGTTACATCACATCACATTACGTTACGTTACATCACATTACATTACGTTACATTACATCACATTACATTACGTTACATTACATTACATCACATTACATTACATTACATTACATTACATTACATCACATTACATCACATCACATTACATTACATTACATTACATTACATCACATTACATTACGTTACATTACGTTAGACGCTTTTATCCAAAGCGACTTACATACTCAATCCTGTGGGCAATCCCCACAGGAGCAATTTGGGGTGAAGTGTCTCAGGGACACAACGACATGCTGACTGCAGTGGGGTTTGAACCTGTGACCCCCTGATCCCAACACTAGCCCACTGCGCCACACGCCTCCCACATTTGTCACTATGTACCGACTACGGTGCAAAAATAAGAATGAATAAAGATATCTAATAAATGTGGAATAATAATATATAAATAAAAAACGATGCAAATGGGAAAATATGAATGAATATAAAATACAAAATGAATACTACATTTAGAAAAATTAGATTTAATACAAAATATATAAATAACAATATAATAAATAGGAAAAAAAGAATATCAAAAGATACAAATAATTGTCGAATAGTAATATAAATAAATATAAATAAACATACATCGGGCAAATTAAAATGTTAAAAGTGAACAAACAATAAGAAAAAATCTAATTAATACAATTGAAAAAAACACTCAAAACATTAAAAAAAGGATATATAACTATAAATAAAAATATATATGGAAAGTAATTATAATCATAACAAATCTATGTACACACGTGACAAAGGGAGCATAATGGGATGTTAATTAAATGCATTTCGCAGCCATTCAACCTTTTTTTAAACACCTGTCCGTCACCTTCCTCCTCCTCTTCCTCTTCCTCCTGTCTAACCTCTGATCTTCAACCCTCACCCTGTTCAGCAGGCAGACGCCCCCCCGCCCTCCTCTCCCATAATCCCAGTGATCCCAGTCTCTCCAGCCGACTCCATCATCCCTCCGACGTCACAGGTTCCTTTTCTTTTAATTTGCTTTTTATTCACCTCCACTTTCTCTCCACCTCCATGCCTTCACCTCCACTTTCTCTCCACCTCCACCTCCATGCCTTCACCTCCACTTTCTCTCCACCTCCACCTCCATGCCTTCACCTCCACTTTCTCTCCACCTCCACCTCCATGCCTTCACCTCCACTTTCTCTCCACCTCCACCTCCATGCCTTCACCTCCACTTTCTCTCCACCTCCACCTCCATGCCTTCACCTCCACTTTCTCTCCACCTCCACCTCCATGCCTTCACCTCCACTTTCTCTCCACCTCCACCTCCATGCCTTCACCTCCACTTTCTCTCCACCTCCACCTCCATGCCTTCACCTCCACTTTCTCTCCACCTCCACCTCCATGCCTTCACCTCCACTTTCTCTCCACCTCCACCTCCATGCCTTCACCTCCACTTTCTCTCCCCCTCCACCTCCATGCCTTCACCTCCACTTTCTCTCCACCTCCACCTCCATGCCTTCACCTCCACTTTCTCTCCACCTCCACCTCCATGCCTTCACCTCCACTTTCTCTCCACCTCCACTTCCATGCCTTCACCTCCACTTTCTCTCCACCTCCACCTCCATGCCTTCACCTCCACTTTCTCTCCACCTCCACCTCCATGCCTTCACCTCCACTTTCTCTCCACCTCCACCTCCATGCCTTCACCTCCACTTTCTCTCCACCTCCACTTCCATGCCTTCCCCTCCACTTTCTCTCCACCTCCACCTCCATGCCTTCACCTCCACTTTCTCTCCACCTCCACCTCCATGCCTTCACCTCCTCGTCTTCATTTGTTTATTGGCTGCTGCTCCTCGTGCTGTTTATAAAAAGCTGCAGGGATGTCGTATTTCTGTGTTGGTCCCTGAAGGCAGCATCTCCCTGGACCAATGGGATTCCTCCGTGTGATTTGGGATTATTGCAGAAAAAATGATCTCAACGTTTATGAAATGTACACGTTTTAGTTCAGCAGGAGCATTTCCAAATATTAACACCACTTTATGATTTCTTACGTTACGTGAAGTCATGTGACCGTGCTGTAGTTCCTTTATAGCCCAATATTAGCCACCTTTAGCTTAGCGGTGGTGAAGTCATGTGACCGTGCTGTATTTCCTTTATAGCCCAACATTAGCCACCTTTAGCTTAGCGGTGGTGACGTGAAGTCATGTGACCGTGCTGTAGTTCCTTTATAGCCCAACATTAGCCTCCTTTAGCTTAGCGGTGGTGACGTGAAGTCATGTGATCGTGCTGTAGTTCCTTTATAGCCCAACATTAGCCTCCTTTAGCTTAGCGGTGGTGACGTGAAGTCATGTGATCGTGCTGTAGTTCCTTTATAGCCCAACATTAGCCACCTTTAGCTTAGCGGTGGTGACGTGAAGTCATTTGACCGTGCTGTAGTTCCTTTATAGCCCAACATTAGCTTCTTACTTCAGAAATCATAAAGTGGTGCTAATATGTGGAGAGGTTCTCCTGCTGAACTAAAACGTGTACATTTCATAAACGTTTGAGATTATTTTCTGCAATAATCCAAAATCACACGGAAGGATCCCATTGGTCCAGGGAGATGCTGCCTTCAGGGTCCACCACAGAAACAGGCCATCCTGCAGCTGTGTGTAGTCGCTCCTCGTCCAGCTGTGATGAAGTGATCAGATTAGAGATATGAGCAGTGGGAGAAACGCCACACTCCCCCTCCTCCCTCCACATGACTTTAAAAGCCCATCTGGCTCCTCCCGGGCAGAAAGCGAGCGACGCAGAGAGCATGAATGAAGCGAGGCGCAGATTATATTTTTAAAACCAGAAGAGGAAGAAGAAGAAGGAGAAGGTCGTCCTCGAGTGTCTGGATTTAGGCTTCATGCTAACGCAGTGCATCCTGTGCAGTGTGAAATGTGTACGTGTCGCTGTAATCTCAAATCCCCGGGTTATCCTCTGCTGTAGTGCGGCTGCAGTGTGTGTGTGTGTGTGTGTGTGTGTGTGTGTGTGTGTGTGTGTGTGTGTGTGTGTGTGTGTGTGTGTGTGTGTGTGTGTGTGTGTGTGTGTGTGTGTGTGTGTGTGTGTGTGTGTGTGTGTGTGTGTGTGTGTGTGTGTGTGTGTGTGTGTGTGTTCCTCTGACTCCCTGATGTATCCTCTCTCTTCAGGCCAACCCTCCCCCCGTGGTGGTCAACACAGAAAGCCTGGACACGCCTCCATATGTGAGTTCACCTGCAAAGGACATGTTTTATTCATTACTGTCTGTCTTTCATTTTAAAATATGCAGTTTAGTGATGTGTAGATAATGTATAACATAAATTAAAATAACGTGGTAATCAGTGTTTTGTTAATGTGTGCAGGTGAACGGGACGGAGGCTGACTATGAGTACGAGGAGATCACGCTGGAGAGGGTGAGATTTATTTTTTGTTGAATCACAGCTGTGTTTTAACTTCAGTTGAACTCCTGTTTCAAACCTCCAAACTTTATTTTAAATATTCAAATGTGTCAGAAATCTGCAAAGGCTATTCAAGAAAGTAATACAAATAACTCCATAATGAACCCCAAATAACATTAGGCGCTTTCACACCGGAGTACTTTTCCCAGGAATAGTTCCGATAGTTCTTGGGATTTTGCGTTCACACCAAAAAAATCTGGAACTAGAATTGAGTTCATGAGAACCTTTGACCCCCTGTTCAGTCCCTGCTGGAGAGGTGGTACTTTCCTGGGGAGGAAAAGGTTCCAATTTCTGATTGGCTGGGCGGATTACAAACCACGCCCCGTAAAACTCTGAAAAGTTTTTGTGAAGCCGCCATTTTATTTGCTCGCATTAGCATTATTAGCGTTAGCATTAGCCCAGCGTACAAACTGGGAGTCCCAGCAGCTTCGACTGAAGCCAGTCCCTAACTCCGGGGACTTCCGGCCGGGGACTTCGGGTGGCAGTATACGCCGTGAAGTGGTTTGCGGCCTGCCAGTAAACCCAAAGCAGAAGAAGAAGAAGTGACATCAGCGGCTCCCTCAGGGACTTATTCCGGTGTGAACGTGATTTACTAGAAAGCTCCAGGAAATAAAAGTTCCAGGGAAAAATACTTGGTGTGAAAGCGCCTTATGATTCAAATTATATTTACAAGAGAAAATATCAGATTTTCGATGAGATTAAAAAGTCATACTTTGCCAGAAAAAACCCTTGCATTTCCGAGACTATTAACGCGGATATTCTCTAAAGTCGTAAATGTAGAAAATATACTGATGTTTTTTCTCCTAAATTAGTTTGTTTTTCTTCAGAAAGTCTGAATTATTTTCCTTTAATTGTTTGATTTTTATTCATTTTGTATTTACTTGTGAGTTGTTGCTTGTAAATGTAGGAAAAGAGATCCTTTTGAATCCTGAATTACTTTTTCCTCATAAAGCATAGACAATTAAACAATGCTTGTGTGTGTCTGCACATCATTTATTTATCATTCAGATGTGTGTTAACCCCCGGCCTGAGGGGAAATCTTTACATATACCGTTTTTGAGGAACAGAAATATTGTTTTCTGGCATCACTTTAACAAGTTACGGGGAAATCTGCATTTTGGTTTGAGGGCGCACGCAGAAGATATATATGTTTATTTCTTCTTGTCTGTATTCAGCTGTGTTTCTTGGAGTGTATGTTATTACCCGAGCAGCGTGAATAAGAGTCTCCTCGGCCAGCTGAGTCTCTTCTTCAGGCCTCCGGCTCCAACGTTTCTTAAACCGGATTTTAGAAACTGGAGAGGAATCAAATCAGATTTTCATTCACATTTTTACTTGAAGATGAACTATGATATGCCTTGCTTTAAATAATAAATCTGGTCCACAAATATATCAATACATTTAGAGTTTGCTGTTTTAAGATCTGATGTTTCCTCTCTGCTTCCTCTCTGCTTCCTCTCTGCTTCCTCTCTGTTTCCTCTCTGTTTCCTCTCTGCTTCCTCTCTGCTTCCTCTCTGTTTCCTCTCTGTTTCCTCTCTGTTTCCTCTCTGCTTCCTCTCTGTTTCCTCTCTGTTTCCTCTCTGCTTCCTCTCTGTTTCCTCTCTGTTTCCTCTCTGCTTCCTCTCTGTTTCCTCTCTGTTTCCTCTCTGCTTCCTCTCTGCTTCCTCTCTGTTTCCTCTCTGTTTCCTCTCTGTTTCCTCTCTGCTTCCTCTCTGCTTCCTCTCTGTTTCCTCTCTGTTTCCTCTCTGTTTCCCTCTCTGTTTCCTCTCTGCTTCCTCTCTGCTTCCTCTCTGTTTCCTCTCTGCCTCCTCTCTGTTTCCTCTCTGCTTCCTCTCTGTTTCCTCTCTGTTTCCTCTCTGCTTCCTCTCTGCTTCCTCTCTGTTTCCTCTCTGCTTCCTCTCTGCTTCCTCTCTGCTTCCTCTCGCTTCCTCTCTGTTCCTCTCTGTTTCCTCTCTGTTTTCCTCTCCTGCTTCCTCTCTGTTTCCTCTCTGTTTCCTCTCTGCTTCCTCTCTGTTTCCCTCTCTGTTTCCTCTCTGTTTTCCTCTCTGCTTCCTCTCTGTTTCCTCTCTGCTTCCTCTCTGTTTCCTCTCTGCTTCTCTCTCTGTTCTCTCTGTTTCCCTCTCTGCTTCCTCTCTGCTTCCTCTCTGTTTCCTCTCTGTTTCCTCTCTGCTTCCTCTCTGTTTCCTCTCTGCTTCCTCTCTGCTTCCTCTCTGTTTCCTCTCTGTTTCCTCTCTGCTTCCTCTCTGTTTCCTCTCTGTTTCCTCTCTGTTTCCTCTCTGCTTCCTCTCTGCTTCCCTCTCTGTTTCCTCTCTGTTTCCTCTCTGCTTCCTCTCTGTTTCCTCTCTGCTTCCTCTCTGCTTCCTCTCTGTTTCCTCCTCTGCTTCCTCTCTGCTTCCTCTCTGTTTCCTCTCTGTTCCTCTCTGTTTCCTCTCTGTTTCCTCTCTGCTTCCTCTCTGTTTCCTCTCTGTTTCCTCTCTGCTTCCTCTCTGTTTCCTCTCTGCTTCCTCTCTCTGCCTTCTGCTTCCTCTCTGTTTCCTTCCTCTCTGTTTCCTCTCTGCTTCCTCTCTGCTTCCTCTCTGTTTCCTCTCTGTTTCCTCTCTGCTTCCTCTCTGCTTCCTCTCTGCTTCCTCTCTGCTTCCTCTCTGTTTCCTCTCTGTTTCCTCTCTGCTTCCTCTCTGTTTCCTCTCTGTTTCCTCTCTGTTTCCTCTCTGTTTCCTCTCTGCTTCCTCTCTGTTTCCTCTCTGCTTCCTCTCTGCTTCCTCTCTGCTTCCTCTCTGTTTCCTCTCTGTTTCCTCTCTGCTTCCTCTCTGCTTCCTCTCTGCTTCCTCTCTGTTTCCTCTCTGTTTCCTCTCTGTTTCCTCTCTGCTTCCTCTCTGCTTCCTCTCTGCTTCCTCTCTGTTTCCTCTCTGTTTCCTCTCTGCTTCCTCTCTGTTTCCTCTCTGCTTCCTCTCTGTTTCCTCTCTGCTTCCTCTCTGCTTCCTCTCTGTTTCCTCTCTGTTTCCTCTCTGCTTCCTCTCTGCTTCCTCTCTGCTTCCTCTCTGCTTCCTCTCTGTTTCCTCTCTGCTTCCTCTCTGTTTCCTCTCTGCTTCCTCTCTGCTTCCTCTCTGTTTCCTCTCTGTTTCCTCTCTGTTTCCTCTCTGCTTTCCTCTCTGCTTCCTCTCTGTTTCCTCTCTGCTTCCTCTCTGTTTCCTCTCTGTTTCCTCTCTGTTTCCTCTCTGCTTCCTCTCTGCTTCCTCTCTGTTTCCTCTCAGGGGAACTCAGGTCTGGGCTTCAGTATCGCCGGCGGCGTCGATAACCCTCACATCGGAGAGGACCCGAGCATCTTCATCACCAAGGTGATCCCCGGGGGGGCGGCCGCACAGGACGGGAGGCTCAGGTGAGACACACACACACACACACACACACACACACACACACACACACACACACACACACACACACACACACACAGAAAGAAAGGCTTGAATCCCAAAGTTCCACAAATAGTGACATCACCATGGAACACTCGCGCTCCTATTGGCTAGCGCTCCAACACATTGTACGTGACATCACTAAGCGGTTGACCAATCACAACAGAGCCGGCCAGCTAACCAATCAGAGCAGACTGGGCTCTGGTTTCACACAGAGGGTGAAAAGAGGTGCTGCAGCACAGGCAGTATGAGAGAGATAAAGAGCTTTCTGAACATTAAAGCGTGAGCAGAAACCAGCGATGCTTTTACTCGAGGCGCTTTTTGTAGTACACCTAGTATGGTGTCCATTACCCAGAATCCCCTGCAGTGTCCTGCTGTCTTTCACTGCTTCATCCATAATGCAGACACCTGAGCCAGGTGATGAAGAGGAGCAGCCTCAGGTTTCCTCCATCAGAGGAACCTGACCTCGCTCTCCTAAATGAACCACTTTTATCAAAAATATTCAGGTTATTTTCTCCTGAATGAGTTAGTGGTCTCCTGAATGAGGTCTCCTGAATGAGGTCTCCTGAATGAGGTCTCCTGAATGAGTTAGTGGTCTCCTGAATGAGTTAGTGGTCTCCTGAATGAGTTAGTGGTCTCCTGAATGAGTTAGTAGTCTCCTGAATGAGTTAGTGGTCTCCTGAATGAGTTAGTGGTCTCCTGAATGAGTTAGTGGTCTCCTGAATGAGTTAGTGGTCTCCTGAATGAGTTAGTAGTCTCCTGAATGAGTTAGTGGTCTCCTGAATGAGTTAGTAGTCTCCTGAATGAGTTAGTGGTCTCCTGAATGAGTTAGTGGTCTCCTGAATGAGTTAGTAGTCTCCTGAATGAGTTAGTGGTCTCCTGAATGAGTTAGTGGTCTCCTGAATGAGTTAGTGGTCTCCTGAATGAGTTAGTGGTCTCCTGAATGAGTTAGTGGTCTCCTGAATGAGTTAGTGGTCTCCTGAATGAGTTAGTGGTCTCCTGAATGAGTTAGTAGTCTCCTGAATGAGTTAGTGGTCTCCTGAATGAGTTAGTGGTCTCCTGAATGAGTTAGTGGTCTCCTGAATGAGGTCTCCTGAATGAGTTAGTAGTCTCCTGAATGAGGTCTCCTGAATGAGGTCTCCTGAATGAGTTAGTGGTCTCCTGAATGAGGTCTCCTGAATGAGGTCTCCTGAATGAGTTAGTGGTCTCCTGAATGAGTTAGTGGTCTCCTGAATGAGTTAGTAGTCTCCTGAATGAGTTAGTGGTCTCCTGAATGAGTTAGTGGTCTCCTGAATGAGTTAGTGGTCTCCTGAATGAGGTCTCCTGAATGAGGTCTCCTGAATGAGTTAGTGGTCTCCTGAATGAGGTCTCCTGAATGAGGTCTCCTGAATGAGTTAGTGGTCTCCTGAATGAGGTCTCCTGAATGAGGTCTCCTGAATGAGTTAGTGGTCTCCTGAATGAGTTAGTGGTCTCCTGAATGAGTTAGTGGTCTCCTGAATGAGTTAGTGGTCTCCTGAATGAGTTAGTGGTCTCCTGAATGAGGTAGTGGTCTCCTGAATGAGTTAGTGGTCTCCTGAATGAGTTAGTAGTCTCCTGAATGAGTTAGTAGTCTCCTGAATGAGTTAGTGGTCTCCTGAATGAGTTAGTGGTCTCCTGAATGAGTTAGTGGTCTCCTGAATGAGTTAGTGGTCTCCTGAATGAGTTAGTGGTCTCCTGAATGAGGTAGTGGTCTCCTGAATGAGTTAGTGGTCTCCTGAATGAGGTCTCCTGAATGAGTTAGTGGTCTCCTGAATGAGTTAGTGGTCTCCTGAATGAGTTAGTGGTCTCCTGAATGAGTTAGTGGTCTCCTGAATGAGTTAGTGGTCTCCTGAATGAGGTCTCCTGAATGAGTTAGTAGTCTCCTGAATGAGTTAGTAGTCTCCTGAATGAGTTAGTGGTCTCCTGAATGAGTTAGTAGTCTCCTGAATGAGTTAGTGGTCTCCTGAATGAGGTCTCCTGAATGAGTTAGTGGTCTCCTGAATGAGTTAGTGGTCTCCTGAATGAGTTAGTGGTCTCCTGAATGAGTTAGTGGTCTCCTGAATGAGTTAGTGGTCTCCTGAATGAGTTAGTAGTCTCCTGAATGAGTTAGTAGTCTCCTGAATGAGGTCTCCTGAATGAGTTAGTGGTCTCCTGAATGAGGTCTCCTGAATGAGTTAGTGGTCTCCTGAATGAGGTCTCCTGAATGAGTTAGTAGTCTCCTGAATGAGGTAGTGGTCTCCTGAATGAGGTCTCCTGAATGAGTTAGTGGTCTCCTGAATGAGTTAGTGGTCTCCTGAATGAGTTAGTGGTCTCCTGAATGAGTTAGTAGTCTCCTGAATGAGTTAGTGGTCTCCTGAATGAGGTCTCCTGAATGAGTTAGTGGTCTCCTGAATGAGTTAGTGGTCTCCTGAATGAGGTAGTGGTCTCCTGAATGAGTTAGTAGTCTCCTGAATGAGTTAGTGGTCTCCTGAATGAGTTAGTGGTCTCCTGAATGAGGTTGTGGTCTCCTGAATGAGTTAGTGGTCTCCTGAATGAGGTAGTGGTCTCCTGAATGAGGTAGTGGTCTCTCCTAACTGACTGCTTGTCTCAGGGTGAACGATGTGATCCTGCGGGTGAACGAGGCGGACGTGCGGGACGTGACCCACAGTCGAGCCGTGGAGGCGCTGAAGGAGGCCGGCTCGCTCGTCAGGCTCTACGTCCGCCGGAGGAAACCCGTCTCTGAGAAAGTGATGGAGCTCAAACTGGTGAAAGGACCCAAAGGTGAGGAGGGGGTTCATATCTTACCTCAGCACGTAATACTACAGTGTAGAAGTACTCTGTTACTGGTCAGAGCCCTGCACTGATTGGCTGCTAGTCGGAGTTATATATGATGGAGTGCAGCTGGTAAAGGTGGAGATCACTTTTTATTATCTTTCATTCCTTTATTTATATTTTGCATTGGTTTATTTATATTGTGTTCAAAATGTACAACGTTGCAAAAAAAGGAAATACTCAAATAAAAGGGCAGTACTTTACCTACTATTACTTGACATACTAGTACTTAACTAACTAGTACTTTACAAACTATTACTTGACATACTAGTACTTAACTAACTAGTACTTTACAAACTATTACTTGACATACTAGTACTTTACCTACCAGTACTTTACCGTCCAGTACTTTACCTACCAGTACTACCAGTACTTCAATCATGTCCTAGATGCAGTACTTGTACTTGTAACAGTATTGTGTGAATCCTGATAATCCCTCAGTAACTCAAGTTAAGGGATTTTCTTAATGTGTTTTAAACTCTTGGTAGAACTCCGCTCTGAACCTGCCTGGAGAGTGACGGTTGTGTCCCCCCCCCTCCCCCCTCCCCCCCTCAGGTCTGGGCTTCAGCATCGCGGGCGGCCTGGGGAACCAGCACATCCCGGGAGATAACAGCATCTACGTTACCAAGGTGATCGAGGGAGGAGCCGCCCACAAAGATGGCCGCCTGCAGATCGGAGACAAGCTGCTGGCCGTAAGATGTGCACTCTCTCATATGCTCACAGTGCACGTGTGCACTCTCTCATATGATCACAGTGCACGTGTGCACTCTCTCATATGATCACAGTGCACGTGTGCACACGGAGAACACAATCACACTACATTGATTCTGTGTGCTTTGCACTGTTTTTAAATAATTAAATAAATTAGAATGAAATATATTCGGACATTAAAATGCATTTAAAATAATTTGGGGATTTTGTTGATGGGAGAAATGTTGGTCTTTTTATTTAGTATTATTTAAAACGTGTGTGTGTGTCTCCCTCTCTCTCTCTGTGTGTGTGTCTCTCTCTGTGTGTGTGTGTCTCCCTCTCTCTCTCTGTGTGTGTGTGTCTCTCTCTGTGTGTGTGGTGTCTCCCTCTCTCTCTCTGTGTGTCTCTCTCTGTGTGTGTGTGTGTGTCTCTCTCTGTGTGTGTGTGTCTCTCTCTGTGTGTGTGGTGTCTCCCTCTCTCTCTCTGTGTGTCTCTCTCTGTGTGTGTGTGTGTGTGTCTCTCTCTGTGTGTGTGTGTCTCT